GGCCATCAACTGACTAAGGATGAGAGCGTTGGCGTTCGATTGAAGAGTCTCCCCAGTCCTGAGATAGATCTGGATGAGAAAGATGAGAAGACCATCCCGTTGAAGGCCAATGGCCACCCAGCCGTTGCCCTCATGGAGGTACTCCGCAGCCTGATGGGTCAGGTGCTTGGGGAGTGCAAGGTGAGGAAGCCTCCCGAAGTGCCGCCCTGTCCCGTGGGATGTGCAGCCTGACCATAGGCCTTCCAACCCCGATTGGAGTAGTACTGAAGAGCCCTCCTGGCGGCGTCTTCACTCATGTGGGTCTCGTGAAGCATCATCAAGGCATCGGTGCGAGACCATGTCCACTCCTGGACCTTGGCCCCGAAATGGGTTACGTTGCCATAGAGGATGGAGATGGTGTCATGTGCTTGCCGAGCCTTCTTGGCCGGTGGCCCAGTGTATTCAGTTTGTGTGTCCTCAACCAGCGTGTCCGGCGGTTCTTTGACGAGCCAAAGTTGGAGAACCTCACGCCTGTGGCGGCCAGTAAGCTCCTCAATGGGAATAGGATATTGCCCATCGTCCGCCAGCCAGACTGCGTTGTCCATCATCAAGAGAGACTGGTAATGCCCCGTGCGATGGTCAGCCCCCTCATAAGTGACCAAAGCCACGATCCTGTAGGCTGCCATGTGGACGTGCTGTCCGTCCTCCGAGAAGGGGAGGTTGATGTCCTGTCCAAACTCCAACTCCCGGTCGTGTTTGGTCCAAATGCCCTCGATGAGCTGGAATCTTTGCAGCTGTAGGACCAGCGCCTCCGGGGCTCCGTAGAGAAACTGTCCCCCCTCTTCGTCCGCCCAGCTGCAAATGAGCTCATCCAACGAAAGGCTATGATCACCTGGGGGAAATATCAGGTTCAAGGGCATCTGCTCGCGGATTTCCAGAGGGCCTTGAAGCCGCCTGTGGTAGAACTTCCCTCCATAGAAGGTGGAGTCCGCTTGGGCCCACAAAAACCCCACAAAGTCCGCCGCATCGGCCTGGTGGCCCTGGGGAAAATGCGCCCATAGGCTCTGAAGGTCTGGGTCCTCAGAAAGGAGCTGTCCTTGAGACTCCGATAGACAGCGCCTAACCGCTGTTTGGGTGTGACCCCAGGCCGTGGCGGTATCCTCGGCAAAGGCTCCACTCCAGCACCAGCACCGGAAAGGGGCATTGCCAAAACACAAGTTCTGGCCATCCGGGTTGTCCAAAATGGTGGTCAAAACTTGCGAGATCACGTACACATTGGCCAAGGGTGGCCTGAGATCGCCCGGTAGGCAAAGGTGTTGATGCACCAGGTTGCGCATCCGTCTCAAATCCGCAAGAAGCCGCTGGCCGTGATGCGCCAGCCCTGTGTTCCGATATGTCTGACTGGAAGCCATGAGATCATGTTGGCACAAGTCAAAATAGAAGACCTGATTGGAGTCCAGGTCTGAGGCGTGCTCCGACTCCATAGCAGAAAGCAGCACTTGAGCTAAAGAGGGGACAGGTGAGGTCCTGGAGGAAGCGATACCCCGTGGGGCCCGCTCAGAGGTAGAAGAACCCAGTGCCTCACCGACCCCTTGAAGCTCGCCAGGCTGCCGTGGGAGACTGCCTCCAAAAACTTTCAAAGAAGACCGCCGCCTCTGGGGCCCATAGCCCTCCAAACCCCGCGGAGTGGCCAGACTTGAGCCTGAAGCGGCCAAAGACGGTTGATTGTGAAAAACCCCACAATCAGAGATAGAAACCCCTGCATGCTGTTCACATGACTGATGCCCCTCATGAAGTGTATCAAGCAAGCCAAGCACCAAGGACGGGTTACCCGCAAGACTGAACATCAGTGACTTCCTTCTTGCGTCGCTTGGCCTCTTCGTCTGTTGAGGCGGGCGGTCGTTTCAACATGCTCTGAAGCTGGTTTTGCTGCTCCTCAGTCAGACTGACACCAAGGGTGGTGATAAACCCGGCTACAGCGGCAGGCACTGGGTCGCCTGTTTCCGCATCCGGCAAAACTTCCAAATCAGTCTTTGCTGAGCTGACCAAAGTCATGTACGAAGCACTGGTGGTAGTCAGAGCCTGCTGTTCATTTTCAATCCTCCCTTGGATAGCCTTCATCTCCTCCAGCAAATCTTGATAGGCCCGCTTAGTGGAGTCAATCTTCTGCTGGAGATGAGACTTCTTGTGAGACAGATCCTTCAGGAGGGAGACCTGCGTCTTGAGCTTGGATGCAATGTCCTTTTTGGTGGGTGGAGAAGGCTTCGTCAGTTTCTCCACCAACTCCCTGACCTGTGGTGGAAGCTGCGCCATGTTCTCCACCAGGACGTCCTTGAGGTCAGGGCCAGGATTAGGCGGAGGTGGCTGGATTCCAAGATCTTGAAGCTTCTGTTGAAGGGCCTGATCCAAAGAGGACCAGGCGGGCGCCAGGACTTCAGCTGTGGCCTTTTGGATCCTGGTGACCTTGTAGGGCTTGCTGCCTAGGCCGGGAGGAGGCTTGACAGGGAGCTGCTGGCGTCCGGACCTTTTCGGTGACCTTGACGGTGGGGCCTTCGAGTAGCCTTGAGGAGGTCGAGCCCATTGTTCCCCACATCTCCTGCAAACATAGCCCTCGCGAATCTTGTCCGCCCATATCCAGTTGAAGCAGTTCTCTCCTCCGCACACCTGATACGTCCTGCAAAAGCTGTTGCCTCGGCCGTCCATGTTGATCACCTCGCCTTCCGCGATCTGGCCAAAGAGCCCTTCAATCACGAGGTGTCCGGGTAGATGAAAACGCACGGGGCCAAAAGCCGCCGCGCTTGAGGCTAAACAGCTTGAGCCTTGAGCCTTGAGCCATATATATATATATGTATATATACAGTATATAATATGATATATTTATGTTTTATATTTTTGTTGGTGAGTCCCCCTGTTGAGACACTCACATGGAGACTGGTAGAAACTTCCGTGGATCCCTTGAACACAATCCCTCCCTCCCTCCCTCCCTCCCTAATTGGAGGACCTCAATTCGGAGCCACATCCATGGCACAGCCATCCAACATGATCATGCCCTCAAACAATCAGCGGCCAACATGGCTTGGAAAATGTCGCATTGGACACTCTAATAACGAACGAGAACCAAGAAGGTGTTGTTCCTGCTCACAGTGCCCAGAACGTTGTTGAGAAATATGATCCTCAAACAACTCAAAGCCCTGATCGGTCCTACATTGGCTACAGAAGTAGCATTTGCAGGGACCCTCTACCTTCCAGAACAAGCTACCGGTAACGAAGGACGTCCATGCTTGGACTCGGGTCTCATCTTTTGTGACAGTCAAAGTCCACTGATGGCCCAAGTGTGGTGAGAAAAAATGGCAAAACCCTTCACACAAAGGACACCCAAACTCAAAATCAACAAACCAAAACAAATTACGCCAGCACGAGAACGGTCGTTCTGCACGGCACGTGTGTACGGGCCCGCGGGCTTACGGGCAAGCGGGTGTGTGGGCATTTGAGACTAGTCCCCAGATGGTTCTTATTCTCCAAGTAGTGGGAGCTTCAAGTTTAGGGCAGGGTGCTTCAGTGCGCTTTGGAACCTGGGTGTTGGTTGAAGATGCAGTGCCTGATGTCTATGTGGGTGACCTTTGGATTGTGAGCGGATGCTGCTGCAGAGATGTCTTTGTCTGTGTGCGCTTTGGAGCCTGGGCGGTGGCCGCTTGCCAAACGTTTGCAGCAGTGGGCGCTTTGAGGCCTGGGCACTGGTGCCGCTGCAGGGTGCCACTGCAGGGTGCCGCTGCCAGATGCCTACGTATGGCAGCACGCACATTGGAACCTGGGCGCTCACGCCGCTGCAGGGTGCAGAGGGCGCCGCTGACAGACGTGCATGGTCATGTACACTTTGGAGCCTGGGTTCTGGCGCCGCTGCAGAGCGCCACTGCCTGCCTACTTGTAGTGCGCGGCCTTTAGCTTTGCTAGCTGGGGTCTATGCTAACATCATGTTTAAAGGCCTGCCCTTGGTCCCATCCCGTCACAGCGGAGATGGACACATGAAGACACAAAAACAAACATATTTAGATATGCATATGGTTCCTTGACGCCTGATCCCTCACTCGCTAAACAACGTCAACTCCTCTTGTCGCCCTCCAATTTACTCTCTTTTCTCTAACTTCGACTACAGCTGCCACCACAACCTCAGCGAGCACAACACATTGGACTTCACACAGAAAGGTGCGCAATGGGAATTCAAGGCAAGGAGACACCGTCGTGTTCAACATGCCAAGGCACCGCAAGCATGTCTATACTGCTCACACGTGGGTTGGGAGCTGGTGAGCTTTCACTGGCCGGTTGGTCGAGCACAGCTCGTCTGCTACATCTTGACTGTGTCATGGCAACATAATAAGCTTGATTTAAGGATGTTAACTTTAGCGCTCCGATCCCATACTTCGGCCAAAAAATGCAAGCCAGTCCAAGCTTCTGTGATGTGAGCTGATCATGGCCACAAAGTCATGGCATGCCGGAGCTGCCAAACTCTGCTTGTGATGTGGAGTCATGGAGGGTGAGTTGGAAGGCCCAGAAGTTGGGACACCCATTCATCCCCCAGGGTACAACCATAGCTGTACCCTGCAGCATTGGCACAGACCCCAAATAGAAAAAGGTTTTTGTGGGCAGCACACAGCTGCACCCTACAGCGGCACCAGCACGTAGACTCCAAAACACACACGGACACGGACATACACATCTTGCAGCAGCAAGCGCACACACGGCCATACCACCAACATCCAAGCTCCAAAGCGCACACGGCCACAAACATCTGGCAACGGCACCCTGCAGCAGCACCAGCACCCAGGCTCCGAAGCGCATGGAGGCACCTTTCCCCAAAATTGAAGCAAGAACCCCAACAGCTCTCGCTATCTGGGAAACAAAGAAAGCCAAACCAAACCTGCAAAATGACATGCTACCTTTTCGCAAATCCGGCCTTCCAGACTCTTTTGGGCCCACGTGGGACTTGTGCAAGCGATCCCGTCCACCCACAGTCCAACTTCGTCCTTCAGCCTCTCACCGCGAAGATGCTTTGTCTTGATGCCCAAACAGAAGCTGATCGCATCCTGGAGGTCCGAGGAAAAGAACCAAACATCCCTGGTCAACTGACAGGCTCCAGGTTGAATAGAAGGCAGTGGTCAGGTTCATGTACAGGAGGATGAACCCAGGATCATAAGTTTCACAAATATAACCCTATATATAGTTGTTGGCTATTCCACCTTTGTCCAATTTCCAGAAACTGCATCCATGTTCATTGCGAAACATGCGTTTACGTTTCGTTCACATCTCCCAGGTGTTGAAGGTTTTGGGGGATCTTCACCACAACTTCATGCCCATCCCATGTCGCGTCGACTCCATCGGTCCATGATATTGGACTTCCCTGAGCCATTGGGGCCGATGATGCAAGTGAACTTGTCGAACGGACCTCCGGAGCAAAGGCAAAGTGGACGGTCGGACTCTGAGGCCATCGCTACTAGTAACAAGAAGCTACTCTGAGGCAAGGGTAGGCCTCGACATGACTCGACTCGGGATCCACCGAGGCACCCGAGTGCCGGTCTCAAGCGGGTCAAGGTTGGTTTTCATTTCGTTTCGGAAAGGTTCACTGTGACTGCTTGTGGCATCCAAGAACGGAAAGAAGAGCTTCGCTTTGAAATTCAACCAAACACCAAACTAAGCGCTCTACTTCTCTCAACTCAACAGGTAGATAGTAGAGCGCTTAGTGGGATACCTTCGTGAAAACAGACTCTCCGACCGACAAACTGATGAATGTCTCTGCTCCGCAGTTACCCATATTGTGCAGGATACAAAAATGCGTTGCAAGGGACTCAAGGGTGTTGGAAACATTGCTCCTTCTCAGCAACCAAGAAACCTGAGGAAGGGGGAGGAAAGGGGTCCCAGAAGACGATTACAACGAATGGTCAAAGGACCGCTGACCTGCAGCATCTGGCGCAAGGCATGTCAGACAAAGGATACAAGAGCACACCTTTTGTGATAGCCTGACTGACGGGGTGGGCAAGGAGTTGACGGCGGAATCGCCTTGGTACGTTGACAAATCCATTTGAAGAGCATCTGTCTTCAATGGATTTCGGTTCTTTCACGTCAGCTACAGCTCTCACGACATGGAACCCACGCCCTTGACACCGGTGTCAAGGGAGTGGAGAGACCAGGTCGAAGTGCTATCAATCGTCTAGGGAAAAACTAGAAATCGTAAGGCCCAAGTCATCGGTCAGGCTACAGACCTGGCGTCCCGCTTGAAATTGTTTGAGCCAAAGCAGTGTGACTGTAGCAAGACCGCACGGTTAACAGATCAACCGTAAAAATGGTGAGGATATTCATAGTGAATATTCATTTACCTATAGTGAATAGTGATATGCATCTATTATTAAATGATATTAGATGATATTCATCTACCACAATCTTGGGAGTTCTGCTCGAGCCCCCCAGACTCAAAACCCAAGCGACAAACTTGTTTTGCATCGAAGTTCAAGTCAAAGCATGCCTTTGGAGTAGAGTAAGCGAAGAGAGCAAAACTGTACGTTTGCACCCACACTTTTGATATTTTTGTTTCACAAGCAAATCCTGAAATTCTGACAGACCCCTTGTACTTTGTAGTATATAACTTGTACTTACATATGCAGTTTATCCAATTGCGCAGTTACCCCCCGGCCTATCTCATGCCGGCCAGCATAGGATTTGAAGTTCAGAATGATGAGCTTCTCGATGTGTGCCTGTGCATTCCTGGGCAAGTCTGGTTTGATCGATCCGTGGGTGCCTGCGGCTCCACGAAACTGGCTCGTGTGAAATTCAGTAAACAAGAAAAATCAATGTATCCATCCAAACATCCACAGACCTCGCAATAACCTCGATACCCATGTGTATGATCGATTTAAAGAGAGCTTCATGGTCTCGAAACCGGCTCCACGGTTAGGCTAAATGCGGGCGAAACGTGTCTGGAAACGTGTGTGGAGCCTCCGTTCAACTGGCTTTGGTTGCGTTATCTTACAAAGAATTCGCAGAAACCCCTCAGTGAAAGACATCCTTGTGACTTGGAGGGTCACACATAAGTCACGAGCAATCCTTTGTACAAATTGAATTCACGTGCGTGCCCTTTTTTCTGGTCTGTTGCCTCAAAGCACAGCAACCTCTCCTGCACATGTACGTGAGTGTAATCTATGCTCACAATAGAAACTGTATAGATGTTTGATGTACTGTATATATATATAAGTATTGAGACATGTATTGGGGCGATGCTATATAAATGTCCATCCCAACCCCAAGTCATTCCCAGCGTCTGGTACATTGGCGCCAGATCAACACATTGAACGAGAGAGCTAGCACAATGTCAAGAGGTGCTCGTGTTTGACTTTGTGTTTGTGTGTGTGCGTGTTCTGCCTCTGTGGGTAAAAGCTTGAAGAAAAAAATAAGTCATAAAACCCAACAAGAGCGTGTCTGAAGGTGGCCTGATGCATGCCCATGGAGGCTTCGTCTTTTCAGGTTTTGAAAGACCGCCAATTTGCATGCCCGTCACTAGTCAAATCTCAGAATGGGCATGGTCCTTTCATGGGAATCCTTTCATGGTCCTTTCTCGGTGTGTTTGCTTGAACAATAGCGACACCATAGCGACAGTGGACGAGTCGTAGCTTTGAGGCCGAATGCAATGCTTAGCGGCACTGCCCATAGAAACATCCTGCAGTCTCTGGATGACATTCCCTCCATTTTTTGCTTTACAAACACGACTTACCCAGCAGGTGCACCATAACCAATAGGATCCAATAGGCGTTGTTTGAGCACCAGGAAAAATAAAAAGAGAAAACGAAACTGAGGAGCACCAACCCTTTGGGCCGCGGAGTTGGAAGTTGTTCACCCTTCGCCAGTGCAGAATGTCTTCTCCCCGCCACGGAAACCTTTGCCGCCCAAGACGTGGAACAAAAACAACTGGGTGTTGTTGCAGATGGGACTCCTTTGAGCCCTGAACCCCTACACAGCTGAGACTCTGCATGCATTGTTTTGCCAAATGATTGAACCGAAACGCAGATCGTTTTTCTTCTCAACGCTACTCTCCTTGCGCAGAAACAGCGGCTGTTCTCTGCGCTGTTCCCTGTGGAGCTATCGGCCAACGAGTGGGCGAAGGAGTCGGTCGACGTGTGCAAAGAACTGTAACGGCCACACAGGAGCTTCGACCAGCCCAGCCTGCGGCCAACAATCGACATGTCGAAAACTACGTACTCTGACTCTGACTTTACTGTTTCAAGCTAGCACATGGACCCAGACTACAAGAGACAGTTGTCACAATCTGTGGACCAAGACTACACGACTTCGTCCTTGAGTCGTAGATTCAGCACAACTCTTTCTTCAATCCCCAGCCCAAAGTCCTCTTTATCCACTCAGTTTCCCTAGACTTTGGCCAACAAGCAACTGCAGTTGTACCTGCACACGTCCACATCCGTCCAAACCCCCGCACCGCCGGACCAAGGTGAAACATCGCCTCTCACGGACGCCGCAGGAACGCCCAGCCTGCGCGAGCGAGCAACTGAGCTGCCCAAAGGGCTTCAGGGGGGTTGGGGTGAATGGCACCTGGCACCTTTAGCGTGGGGTAAATCAGCTGCATATGCCGTGCACGCTGCCGAAGAAAGGCATCCAGCTTTCGGTCTCCTGGGATCTGAGTGAACATGCACCTTTCGATTCAGTGTGGATCCTCAAGCGCTTTGCTTTGATTTGGGTCTTCACTTGCGGTTGGTCACCACCACGGCAAGGAACAAAACAAAGACGCAATGCGTCGGGACCAGCTATGCCCTGATTCAAGCCATCTGCAAGAAGATCGCGGACGTCTGCCCACAAAAGTGGACTAGTCATTCTTAAACGACAAAGTCAGGGGCTGCCTTTCCGCAATCATGACCATGCAAGTCAGTCAAACGCGCACAACCCACACTGGCCGAATTAAGGAGCGTGTCAAAAGCATATGCTCGAAATTAACCCCTCCTGTGTCTACACGAAGGATCATTGCCCGCGGGCATGTTGACCCTTTGCTCTCAATGTTAGCTTACAGTTTCTCAGCTCCAGCTGCGCTCCTGCACTTTCATGCAAGCGACCTTCTTGATCACTGATCCACTTGGTGGACTGAACTGCGAGAACCAGCCTTTCTGCAAACCTTCGAGCATTTTGAGCACCTTCTTGTCAGCAATCTTCAAGTCAACTGATCAACAAATGCAACGATCAACGCAATGTAAAGTGACATGGGACCTGTCAAATAAGAAGTCTATCTCTACTTCTTGAACCACTCTGGCAATCTAGTCGGCGTAACACTTCTAGATCCAGGTCAGATGCTTAGACTACGGCAACAACATGCTCATACGTTATCATACGATTGGCTGTGGCGGACCAAGCAAATCCTCACGACACCTGGGCGGACATGAAGGCCTTGTCCGAGGTCAAAAGTGGCTCCGTAACCGCGTCGCGAATTGGCACGTTCTCTCAGCACAAGGTCTGCCGCATCTGCAGAACTTTTCCCCAAAGCGACTACTGCCGGTGCAGGTCTTGGTCTCTTATCACAAGCCACTGTGATCATCACCGGCCCTGCATCTTCACTGACAAGAATTTGGCCGAAGCCCCTGCAACTCGAACAGCTCCATCTCTGGAGGGCGATGGCTGTTGTACGAATCTAGTGCAGATAACTTTATACCAACATCATGCCCTGATTTCCTTTGTAGAGATGACCTTGGGCGTGGTCTTGCCGGCACTTCAGAACGCCTCGCAACATTTCACTACCGTCAAAGACTTGGTGTTAAGAAAATAGAGACCTACTGGGCTTGAGACATGCCTGCTTATTTACTATATATATATAAGTGAAGCTAGACGACGAGTGGCCCGAATGCATTTTTCATCACGTGTGAAGTTAGAGTGTGAGTTATGTGTTAAATGTTCAGTGCGAAGTGTTCAGTCGAGTGTGTTGAGGCAGTGTGTGGGTCTCTGTGTGTGTGTATCTATGTCTGTGTGTGTATGTGTCTCTCTCTCTCTCTCTGTATGTCTTTCTGAAGCGCAGGAACACCTTCTTTCTGCAAGTTCTTGACCTCTCGCAAGTCACCTCCACGTACTGGAGTTGTACTACCAAGTCGACAGTTCTCATCTTCCAGCTCCCCAGATACACTCCACGTACTAGAGTGGTACTACCAAGTCGCCAGTTCTCATCTTCCAGCTCCCCAGGTACTCCGCGTACTCAAGTTGTACTACCAAGTCGCCAGTTCTCATCTTCCAGCTCCCCAGATACTCCGCGTACTAAAGTTGTACTACCAAGTCGCCAGTTCTCATCTTCCAGCTCCCCAGATACTCCGCCTACTAAAGTTGTACTACAAAGTCGCCAGTTCTCATCTTCCAGCTCCCCAGATACTCCGCGTACTATAGTTGTACTACCAGGTCACCAGTTCTCATCTTCCAGCTCCCCAGGTACTCCGCGTACTATAATTGCACTACAAAGTCGCCAGTTCTCATCTTCCAGCTCCCCAGGTACTCCGCGTACTAAAGTTGTACTACAAAATCGCCAGTTCTCATCTTCCAGCTCCCCAGATACTCCTCGTACTACAGTTGTACTACAAAGTCGCCAGTTCTCATCTTCCAGCTCGCCAGATACTCCGCGTACTAAAGTTGTACTACCAAGTATCTTCCAGCTCCCCAGCTACTCCGCGTACTAAAGTTGTACTACAAAGTCGCCAATTCTCATCTTCCGGCTCCACAGATACTCCACGTACTAAAGTTGTACTACAAAGTCGCCAGTTCTCATCTTCCAGCTCCCCAGATA